TTATAAACCTTATTAAAACAGACACTTATTTTGTTCAGCGAATCCAAAAATGCAATAATATACAGAACATTCCATTTAAAAAACGCAACTTTGATGCCTTTAGAGCCTTTGGGACACCCTGTACATTACGAAAATATTTTTAAAATGTGCGCTCGGTAGGCGTCGGACAATTCATAAAAAGTACTTTTTAAAAATCAAACGGTTTAGGCGCAAACTTCCGTGCCGTATAGCGTGACTAACCCTGTAGGTATACATCCGGGACTTCCCCTATATGTGAAATTTCAGCAATATTCCAAAAATCGAGGACGGCATAGGCGAAAAAGTCGGAGTGGTGGTTTTTCTGGGCACCACATGCGTCTCTGGAATGATTTGGGCGTTGATCAAAGGCTGGCAATTGGCTCTAGTTTGCCTAGCGTCGCTACCTCTTCAAACTCTAGTTATGGGCGCTATCGCTTGGGTAACCAAAACGCCAATTCCTCAATTTCCGCGCATTTCACCCCGCATTTAATGCAGTTTTCCGCCAAATACTGCAAGCAAGAAATGGCAGCCTACAGTGCAGCCGGGGCCATAGCCGAAGAAGTGCTCAGCTCCATAAAAACCGTCGTGGCGTTTGATGGGCAGGAAAAGGAGGAAAAGAGATACGAAAAGTTTGTGAAAATCGGTAACTAAACCCAGCCATTAAACTCAAAGCATTCAATCTTAACGGGAATTCCAGCACAAAACAACAACGTAAAACGGTGCCTCTTCAACTCCATTAACCAAGGCTTCCTTTGGTTCCTGGCCTACGGTTGCTATGCCCTGGCCTTTTGGTATGGCGTGGGCTTAGTGATAGAGGAAAGAAACTTGCCAGAAGCCGACAGGGTTTACACCCCGGGGAATATGATGGGCGTAAGCGCAATTAACCCCCAAAACACTGCAAAACCTCAGCAATTTCCCCCTCACAGGTTTTCTTTGCCACCCTTATTGCCAGCTGGAACTGCGGCACCATCAGCCCCTACTTGGAAGTGTTCGGCATGGCTCGAGGAGCCGCCTTTAAAGTGTTCCAAGTGTTGGAAAGCCGCCCGGAAATGTACAAGCAGTACGATGTGGGAAAGCGACCCGATTTCATGTCCAATATCGCTTTTAAAAATGTTAAGTTCAGCTATCCTTCGAGGGCAAATGTTCAAGTAAGTTCAGCTTGCTTTGTTTTTGTTCCAAACTGTGCGTCTCAAGATGAGTGATTTTTATACTTTTATCAACTGATGGATAATCCGGACACGTTTATTAGAGTTCCATGCACCTTTGCAACATTTTGCAAGGCTGTGACTTGAAGCAAATACACACCGAAATAGAGTTAAATATGCATGAAGGTAAAAAACAGTGAGGGTGGCCACATTGTTTAAAAAAATCTTGGGTCAAATGCCCGACAATGTTAAACGTATTGCTTGCACAGTCGAATTCCCGGGAGAACATCGATGTACAACCCACGAAACGCCGCTTGTAGGCCTGGTTGTTGCCACGCAATTTCGCCTTTTCGGCCCACTATGTAAGAGTTGGTTTACCGGCCGTTGATTTTCAGGTGTGAATTGGCAGGCAACATTACACTGAAAGTCGATAAAAACCCAATTTTTTTGAAAATGAGCGTCAATTAAATTATGAACTCAACTTGTAAAACTTGTAGATAAGTAAAACTTGTAGATATTGTTGAGGCGGATTCATTGTTTTACAAACTTCTTTTTGGGTATTTTGCCTTAAAAACTTTTGTCTTTTAAAAAGACAGAATTTCCTCACGACTTCTATTACTTCTATTTCGCAATAAGAACGAATTATTTATCAAAAAGTAATCAAGAACTATCACCTAGAGGGTATCCTGCGACACACTTAGGCTCAAGCTGTAAGAGAAAATTCCAATTAGTAAAGAAATTAATTTGAAAAATTGCCTTGACGCTTCGATAGCTATTTTCTGCTATTGTTATCAAAAGAACCTAAATGAACCTAAAAAAGAGTGTAACATACTATTTTTTTAGGTATCAATCTGTAATAAAAGACGTGAGGAAATTCTGCCTTTTTTTAAAGACAAAAATTTTTGAGGCGAAATACCCAAAAAGAAGTTCGTAAAAAAATTGTAAAACTTGGTTTAAATGCACATCTTGGTTTGAGCAGGTCTTAAAGAACATCAACCTGGAAATTCGATTCGGAGAAACAGTCGCCCTTGTAGGACCCTCTGGATCGGGGAAATCCACAATTGTGCAGCTGATGCAGCGCTTCTATGACCCCAATTCTGGAATGGTCAGCACCCAACTATCCTTAGGGAACCCGATAAATTACCAAGCTTTCCCCACTTTTCCAGATCAGCATTGACGACGTGAACTTGAAAGACGTGAACTTGAGCTATCTGCGGCAAAATGTGGGCGTGGTTAGCCAAGAGCCGTCCCTCTTTGCCACCACCATTGCCGAGAACATTCGCTATGGAAAATTGAGCGCAACCATGGAGGAAATAAGCAAGTAGCCATTGTTTGGGTTCGATTAAATTTGAGTTTTCCTGCAGTTGCAGCGGCCAAAAAGGCCAACGCCCACCGATTTGTGACGAATTTACCATTCGGTTACCAGACTGTGATTGGCGAGCGGGGCTCCCAACTCTCTGGGGGGCAAAAACAGCGAATCGCCATTGCCCGAGCTTTGATCAAAGCCCCCAACTTGTTGATTCTAGATGAGGCTACTTCTGCCTTGGATACTGCCAGTGAAGTCGAAGTGCAGCAGGCGCTGGACGCAGTAAGTTGCAGAAAACTCTACCTCAAACCTTTTCCACATGCAGCCTGTTCCAGATAAGTGGGGAATGCACCAAACTGGTGGTGGCGCACAGACTATCTACGATCAGAAACGCCAGTAGAATCATCGTCTTCGATCAAGGGGAAGTGGTAGAGCACGGCTCGCATGCCCAGCTGATGGCCGCCAAGGGCGTCTACTACAACATGATCACCTCCCAAGGCTACACAGACCTTAAGAGCGAAAGTACAAAGTCTCCTTGACTTCACTTGGTCAACCATTAATGCCTTTCCTCTTGCAGACGACAAAGACAACGACAAGGCCTTGCAAAAGTCCAAAAGCTTCTCCAACCACTCCCGGGAGAGTGCTGAAGATGACCAGCAAGTCACTGAAGAAGTGAGTGTTTGAAGAAGGCCATTGGAGGAAGTTATCAATATCGGGGAATGTTTCAGGAGTATTTCCCGCAAGAAGGCAGCTCACGGACCATACTGAAGATTCTCCGAATGAACAGCTCTGAGTGGTTGTCGATGATCATCGGCACCTTGGCTTCCTTCATGAATGGGGCTTCGCTGCCCTTGTATGGGCTGATTTTTGGCGACATTCTAGGCGTAAGCCCTCCAGGGGGTGCTTGTTCGAAATATAACTCAATCCTTCCAGGCATTATCAATTATAGATAACACCGTCCTGAGGCGAGAGGCCAACTTCTACTGCTTGTACTTCCTCTACCTGGGAATCGCTTCTGGAATTGCGATGTTTTTCCAGGTAAAAGCACTGTGGGGCTCAGCCAATTGGAGGACTGAAGTCGATTTTTAGATCTACGGCTTCGGGTATGCGGGAGAAAAGCTAACCTACCGGCTCAGAAACAAGATGTTCGGATGCATGCTCAGGCAGGAGATGGGGTGGTTTGATCGCAAGGAAAATGGGGTTGGCGCTTTATGTGCCCAACTTTCCGGAGATGCGGCCAGCGTCCAAGGGGTAAAAAGTGTCCGAAATCATGCAAAAATATAGATAAGTTCTATATTGTTGAGGCGGATTGTAAAAAGATACAAACTTCTCTTTGGGTATTTCGCCTCAAAAATTTTTGTCTTTACAAGACAGGATTTCCTCTCGCCATTTATTACAGATTGATAAATAGTGCTCCTATTTCGCAATAAGAACGAAGTATTTATCAAAAAGTAATCAATAACTATCACCTAGAGGGTATCCTGCGACACACTGAGGCTCAAGCTGTAAGAGAAAATTCCAATTAGTAGAGAAATTAATTTGAAAAATTACCTTGACGTTTCTATAGGCGAAATACCCAAAAAGAAGTTTGTAAAAAAATGCAAAAATATGTTTCAAAATAACCGTTTCTAGGCTGGCGGGTCTCGGATTGGCCTAATTCTCAACTCAGTCTCCACCTTTATTCTGGCCGCATGCATCGGGTTTTATCTGGAATGGCGCTTAACACTGGTGGCCGGCGTGTTTTTCCCTCTAATGTTCTTCTCGATTTCCTACGAGCGCAAATCGGTACAGCAAGAAACGCAAGCCGCTCAAAAGCTGCTGGAAAAATCCGCCAAGGTTCGCGCAATTCACAAGCCAAAACTAAGTTTGATTTTGGTGCTTTCCAGATAGCAATCGAAGCAATAGATAACATAAAAACGGTGAAAGCTCTAGGGTGTGAACGAGTGTTTTGCGACACTTACGAAAAAGAGCTGGATCTCTGCAGGCAGGCCGGATTCAAAAGGTCGCACATCAAGGCAGGCTTAATAGGCTAGTAGATCAAAGCTGGGGGATTTTGCTCAGGTTTAAAATTGCTAATTTACTCACCCCAGGAATGGCGCGTTGTATACAGTTTCTTGCGTATGCAGGAGGGATGACTTACGGGGCGCAACTGCTGGAGCAAAACGAAGTTGATTCGGCCACACTGTTCAAGTTAGTAGATTTTTGTTGCTGCTAATCGGGTGTAGTTAACCAGATGCATTTGCTTGGAAAGGGTTTTGGAAGTGATCGTGACAAGCTCCTGGTCTATTGGAAATGCGCTGTCGTTCTCATCGAACATGCAGAAAGGAATAACCGCAGCTGCCAAGATTTTCCGGCTGCTTAACAGGGAACCCGCCATCAAAAACTCGCCGAATGGGATTGTGCGCTATTTGGTAAGACTGAAGGGCACTTTACTGGGAAACTGGTGCTCATCCAGCCTTTCCATCGTTCAAGGAAAAGGCCGATGTAGAATATTCAAAGATTTACTTCTCCTACCCGACAAGGCCGGCGATCCCGATCCTGAACGGGCTGGACTTATCCATACTAAATGGGAAAACTGTTGCCTTAGTCGGGGGCAGCGGCTGTGGCAAATCCACCCTCATCCAGCTTCTGATCAGGTTTTACGATCCTGGATATGGGGAAGTTGCTATCGGCGGAGATGACGTCAGAGCGCTCAGTCTAAAACACCTCCGGTACCCCACTATGTTCAATATTTCAGCTGAGTAGTAACTAAACAGATTTCAGGTCTCACTTGGGCATCGTGAGTCAAGAGCCCAACTTGTTCGATCTGACTATAGCCGAGAATATCAGCTATGGAATCCACGATCGGAAAGTGGACCTGAAGGAGATTATGGAAGCGGCCAAATCGGCCAATGTGCACAGCTTCGTGACCAGCCTTCCCCTGGTAAAAATCGAGCAGGAAGGAAAACTTTTAATTAATTGCAATCGTTCAGGGATACGAAACAAGGCTAGGGAGCAAAGGCAAGCAACTATCAGGCGGTCAGAAGCAACGCATAGCGATAGCCAGAGCCCTGTTGCGCGATCCAAAAATCCTTCTTCTGGACGAAGCAACTTCGGCTTTGGATAACGAAAGTGAAAAGGTACCTGCCACGGTAGAACCATTCTTTTTGCGTTAAACTCAAATATTCTTCCAGATCGTTCAAGAGGCTCTAGACAATGCAAGGAAAGGTCGAACCTGCATAACAATCGCCCATAGGCTGACCACCATCCAAGATGCGGACGTCATTTGCGTGGTCAAGGAGGGACAAATCGCCGAAATGGGCACTCATGGCGAACTTCTAAAGCTGAAAGGCCACTATTACGACTATTATAAAATGCAATCCGGACAAAATTGATCCTGGACATTCTTGGGGTGCGTTTCCAGTATTATTAATCTATTTAGTTTGGTAGTTGCGTGAATTCTATGACGGGATTTTATGATCATTCTCATTTTATAGCAACTGTGTATTTTTCTGCGACTTATGTACAATGCTTGAGTGACTAATAAAGAATGTTTAAGAGTTCTTCTCAAATTACAAATTAACGAAGTCCTCGCTTAAATCTATGATAATCTACATAAGCTAGTGTTGATGGGCGTGTAGCCGATAGTACAACCCTTTCCTTTCAATTAAATCTGTGTGGTTTCCTTGCTCGACAATAACACCGTCATTTACCACACATATCAAGTCGGCGTCCTGGATTGTTGTCAGCCGATGCGCTATTGTGAGGCACGTCCTGCCTTGTTTGGCATTGTCCAGAGCCTCCTGGACAACCTGAATATCGGACTTGGCAGTTAAACCCTGAACAGTGTGGGGCGATTTTTCTGAAATACCTTTTCGCTTTCTGCGTCCAAAGCCGATGTGGCTTCGTCCAGCAGCAGCACCTTAGGCTGTCTGATCAGAGCCCTTGCGATGGCGATTCGCTGCTTTTGGCCGCCAGATAGCTGGGTTCCTTTTTCCCCTAGTTTCGTTTTGTAGCCCTGAAAATCCAAGGGCGCCTTCAAACTTTTTACTTTCATCTAAAGCTACTCACTTTTGGTAGATGTGCAATAAAGTTGTGAATGTTGGCTTTTCTGGCGGCTTCGATAATTTCCACCTCAGTGGCCTGTCTTGAGTTGTCTCCATAGGCTATATTCTCTGCTATAGAGCGACTGAATAAGTTCGGCTCTTGCGAGACAATTCCCAAATGCGACCTGCAATTAGACTTGGGGGATTAATTAACCGGCAAACTGCCAGCGGCTTGATTTGCCCAACCTCAATGAGTCCAAAGTGATGGACTTAATGTCATCCTTGTCCAAAGACACCGTGCCTGAAGCTGGATCATAAAAGCGCTCCAGGAGTTGAATAATTGTGGACTTTCCACACCCGCTGGGCCCCACTAGAGCAACGGTTTTCCCTTGCAAGACCGACAAATCCAGACCTTTCAGCACCTGGATCGAGTCCCTAGTCGGGTAGGCGAAGCGAATCTGGGAATAGTCAACGTTGCCATCCGCCTGGAACGCTCGGTATGTTAAATTCTTATTCGGCAATCTGCGCAAAGTATTCTTACAGTTTTTTTAATAAGGGCATTCTGGCTGTTGCTGACTTTGGGGATTCTATTAATCATGTTCATCACTGTGCGGGCTGCTACCAACCCTTTTTCGAGGTTGGGGGTAAACGCTAGCGAATTTGCTATGGAAACTGTGCCCATTATTAAGGCCTGTGCAACCCTAAAGAAGATTAATTGAAAAATGTTCGATTTAACCGTGTAGACTTGAGAAGGCCAAGGTGATTTTCCATAGCAGGCGGAAGTTAAACTCGAATTCGAAATTGGCGCCCGGCGCTGTCAAGCAGCATTTGATCTTGACTCAATCACGATCATAATCGCGAAGTCTTTAAAAGTTCGAAGTTAAGAGCAATTGCACCTACCGTTAAGCTCGCCAGTGCTGCGGTTAGAATGTTCAAAGCCCCAGTATCCTCAGAAGCATCCAAAGGGGCATAAAAAGCAGGTGAAAGCTCGTCTGGACATCAAACGTCAAATAGTGTCCAAATTAATACGTTTTAGTTCTTAAAACCGCACTACCGGCCGAAAAACTTCCACAAAACGGTAAGAAAATCTTGAAATTTCTGATGAATGCAAATTTTCCCGGCGGAAATGACAAAACAGGAAGTTTTTTTGGAAAAATCGACAAACTCAACGCAATCGCGCACATTGGAGGCCCCCAGCAACCGCACAAGTACAAATAAAAATCCACGGCGGCATGGCAACCGCCCTAGCAACGCAGACTGTGGATACAAACACAAACAGCACGCGACCGTTTCCGGCAGTTGCTATGGCAATGGGTGGGTACAAACAGATCAACTCACCGGAAACTAGCATGAGTGTCGCAATGAAAATCAAATGGTTAGTGATTTTTAAGAGTTTAGTGTCAAATTGCGTGTTAAAATGTGAAATATTCAAACTGTCCAGGTAAATATGGGTTTTACAGCACTGCCCCATCGGATTGCGTCGATTTGAAACTTGAAAATGAAATTTGGCGGTTTGCATTCAAAGAAAACCCGTTTTTTTAGGTAAATTTACGTTACTTTTCCCATACCGCTAGCGCCCTAAAAATTTGAGGGCGCCTGCCATAAAAAACATCACTTTGACCTCAAAATGCACGATAAACACTCAAAATCGCTCAGCACTCACTTGAACACGTCGCCATATTGAACATTGTCGTTTTTAATCAGATAGCCCCCATAGACCAAACAGGCGGAAAATGCGAAAATCATAATTGCTCTGGAAAAACCTGAAAATTCCAATTAAACATACTAAAATTCAAAGTTTTTTTTGCTAAAATACCCAAAATGAACGCCCTGGCATGCGTATTCCTGAGGCATTTCTTAATATGAGGCGTCAGCTCATTGATGTACAAGTTGAGGAAGGTTTCTTCGCATCCTAAGGATACGACTGTTCGAATACTGCCGACGGCTTCAACAGCGATCTGCAAGCAATAAAATTAGCCTGGAATAGAAGCGGTGTCAGACCACAGCTGGATTACTTTAGTGGACTTTTGCAAAGACTCCTTGTAATCGTCGCTTTCCTGCGACATTTGCCTCCGTTGAAGGAACGTGGCTACAATGATCAAAGGTACGAAAACCATTGCAACCAAGCCCAGCCTCCATTCATAGTAAACAGCAAGGAAAACTGATAGGCTCAGAGTGGCCAGGGAATTGACGATCGTCCCAATTCGCTGGCCGGTGGCCTAAAAATGCAAAGAATCACAAATCATCCCAGGGAGTTAAGCGATTTTCTTGCCCCTTGCACTTGAGCGGCCTCGTTGGACAGTTTGGCACACAAAGATCCAACGCCGTTTTCTTTGCGATCGAAATACCCCATTTCCTGCTTAAGCAGAGCGTCAAACATGCGACTTCGTATGCGGAGAGTCAGTTTTTGGCCAGCTCTTCCAAACATGTACATCTGGAACCAGAGAATCAGCCAAAATATTGACTTCTACCGCAAGTTTTACCTGCAAAAACGTAGCACACATCGAGAGAACGCCAGCAAGAACAAAATATAGGCAATATTTGTTAGTTTCCTGCCTGACATAGTCGGGGTTGCTGTCGATGTCTTGCAACACCTAAGGGAGATGTAAACATGACTTTCTTGATGGAATTGCTCGCTCCCCAGTGCTTCAGGTAGTGAAGTTACCTGCAGAATATTTCCAAAGAGAATGGCGAATATTGGAAATGCAGTTCCCATAGCGCCTGCTCCAATGCAGCCAAGAACAAGCGAAAGCCATTCGGGGGAATTCAGTTTCACTATCGACCATAACGATGCAGTTTTTACGTAGTTGTCTACTTCGGCTTCTTCATCTATTTCCTTTCTTGGTGCAAAGTCCTCATCGTCATCCTCAGCGTAGTCAAGGATTTTCTTCTCTTTTGTCTCGTCGATGTTCTCAAACTTCTCACTGCCTTGCACTTGAGTTGTCACTAAATTCACAATCACCAATTGAAATTTCCTCATATTTATGCATTTTGCGATTTAATCGCAAATTCACAGGGTGACCAAAAAGTTGAACTTAGCGATTTTTTGCCCAGACTTCGCTTTTCCCACCTGTTTGACTGTTTATGATCAAAAACTTCTTAATACCAAATTTCATCCATCTTCGTTCAAAGCAGGCAAACAAAAGACAAAAATGAAAAAAGATTTAAAAAAAATGACGTCGACAACCGACAACTTTTGGCCAAAAGTAACTTGTGCGAAATCATCATATTTTCACCCCAGAAATCCTCCATTTTGTTTTGTGCGATTACTTTGAACACCCTGTGTACAGGGTGGCCCACTCGTTAAAGGCGTAAAAAGCTGTGAAACTTTGTTCGATTTTGGAAATATTATTAAATAAACAAATATTGACCAAAATGTGTTTGCACATTTATCAAAAATTAAAGCTTGAGGAAAAAATGGTCCTTGATTGGATCAGTTTGTAGCGTCCATGTTGGTACTTGTCGACGTTTTGGTAGAGAAATTCATCACCAAGTTTTATTGTCCAAAACATGCAAAACTAGCCCTTAGTTTTGGATTTATCGGAAAAAACCTTTTCGGTCATATTTTTTTTTGCAATATTTGCGAAACCGAACAAAACTTGGACATAGTGTCCAGAGATCTTTTGTCTGATTTATCCGACAGACTATCCATTTTCTGCCGGTGTTTTCTTTCTTAGTTCCTTAGTTCTTAGCAATGGGACCACCCTGTGTAAAAACCATTTGAATACCTAAAGTGTAATATTCTTTTTTCAACTCCATTAAGTCTTCATGAGTGCCTTGTTCCACCACTTTTCCATCGCTGATAACAACGATTTTATTCGCTCCGCGAATCGTGCTGAGCCGATGTGCCACAATGATGGTAGTTCGATTTTCACTCGCCTGCAACCGAAAATGTGCAACTTTTGAAACGTTGACTCGAAGCTGAAACTCACTCTGTCCAAAGCAGCTTGCACTTTGGCTTCGCTGTTTGTGTCCAACGCAGAGGTGGCTTCATCCAGTAGTAGAATGGCGGGATTTCGCACCAGAGCTCTGGCAATTGCGATTCTCTGCTTCTGCCCTCCAGATAGTTGAGCCCCTGGAAAATACGGCGATATTTTCAGCTGGCGACTAAGGAGTGAAAATCTCACCTCTTTCTCCAACTAATGTGTGATAACCCTCAGGCAATCCTTTGATGAATCGATGTGCATTTGCCCTTTTTGCTGCTTGAACAATGTCTTGTTCGGTTGCCTCTTTGTTCCCATATCTGGAAAAATCGCACACTTTCAAACCTTCTTCGCACAGCAAAGAGTGATTTAGCTACCTGATATTTTCTGCAATTGTGGTGCCAAACAGAACAGGTTCTTGACTGACCACACCGATAGATTGACGGTACCAGGAAAGGTCCAGGTCTTTGACGTCTTTTCCATCGATGAAGACCTGCCAGGAGGGCCATTAAATGCGTGTTAAACAAGACATCTGGTAACCTACCTGGCCTTGAAGAGGGTCGTAAAACCTTTGCACCAATTGCAAAACTGTGGACTTCCCACATCCAGAGCTGCCCACCAAAGCCACTGTGTCTCCAGCCTGGATCTCCAGGTCAATTCCTTGGAGGATCTGGAAGAGTTAATCCTCTAGCCACCAACTGGTTTTGCGTGTTAGTATATTTACCGGCACATCCTTCCTGGATGGGTATTGAAACTTGACGTTTTGGAGCTTGATGTTGCCCCTCACTTGATCCAGCTTAGCTCCACTGTTCTTCGATTGGTTGATTGTCGGGGAAGTGTCGATGGTGTGGAAAATCTTCCCTCCTGCCGCTTTGGCGGTGGCAAAAGCCTCAATGAAGGGCGAAGCCACTCCGAAGTTCATACTGCCGGTCATAACGCTGAAGAAAACCTGAACGGAAATTGAGCGGCTTTTCGAAGTAGAAAACTGGTGAAATGCTCACTGTTATCATGTTTCCGGGGGTGTAAACGGGGTTTCCATCCAGCATAAGTTTGACGCCATACCAAAAGGCCAAGCCATAGCTGGAGAAAATGCACAACCACAGCAGACCATAACCGATTCCTTCGAAAAAATGCCTCCTGATGTTGTTGTTTCTTGCAAAAATCAGACTCTTGTCGTATCTGGAAAACTTGCAACTTTAGCCCTTTGTTTCAATCAATGAGGTCATTGAATTGCCTCTGAGTTTCCAGTTTTTCTCCTCCAAACCCAATGACTGTTCTAATCGATGTTAGAACTTCCTCTGCAATTGAACCAGCTTCAGCATAAGCGTCGAGCTCCTTTTTCGAGAACTTGGTAGTCAACTGGGAGGGTTCAAACAGTTAAGTAACTAATTGATTTTTCGGGTTTTTAAGCCGTCGTTCGGTAGAATTTCTTCTTGACGTTTCGCAAGCACGAGTGGCTTGCATCTTCAGAAGTGGTTTGCTTGAACGCTTACACTGTTCTCATCAGAACCCGCGTTCAGTTCTTCCGCAGAACTGAACGGGTTCTGATGAGAACAGTGTAAGCGTTCAAGCAAACCACTTCTGAAGATGCAAGCCACTCG